GTGGCGTGCGAGGTCATGCTTGCGCGAAGCCGCAGGATGCATGATTGAAACTGGGTATATTCACCCTCAGATGGCTGCGGCCATTGCGGCGACCGAAAAGGTCGAAAGATTTTGTAATGTTCTTCGGGCTGCCAACCGCTATGCCGGTTTGGGCACGTATCGATTCAATGACATCGTGGGTAGGAATCTGCTCAATGGATACGATGGCTGGAGAACACCTCCGAGGGAGGATGATCATCCCGAGTTCCTTGCTCGGGAAGTTGAGGACGTTTTCCGTTCCTATTGCGCGGGACTTTTGAGGTCTGAAAGTTTCGACCTCAAGTCCTGCGTAATTGAACCGGAGTCGGAGCCCAAGGCGGAACCGGCTCCCAAAGTGAAGCCACCTCCTCCATCTCTGTCGGCCAGTAAGGGCCTTCCTAGGCGATCGGCTCCTGCTGTACATACTGGGTCGGCACACACCGCCAAGCGTCCAAGAGAGGCTGGCGGTGGCTCCACTGGGAGCGTGCAGATCCCAGGGCATTATTACGGCAAAGCCCGTACCAAGGAATCCCCCGTTCAACCCTCTGAACCGCCAATGGGCGGAGCAGGGGGGGGCGCACAGCCATCCGAAATGGATGTGGACAAGGAGGGGAGTAAGGGTGACGAGAAGAAGGACAAAGCGGCCAATGAGGCTGCTGTAGCGTCAAAGAGCGCAAAGCCGCATCCGGCGAAGGCGTCACGCCCCGAGGCCCTAGGCGGCTCGTTGGACGTGACGCTAATCAGCGACGTACGGGAGCGTGATCGGGATATTGCCGATGATGAGTTTTCCCCTACGAACGTGTGCATGTTTCCGGAATCATGGGAGGGCGTAATGCCGACCTCCGTGATTGACAAGGCCGGAGGCTTTGAGCAGTTTAGGAACGAGCTCATGAGGATCCAGAGAGTCCTGGATTCTCCGGCGTTGGTCGACCTTGGTAAGGTCGATCTGGACGCTCTGGGCGAGCCGCCCAAGGAGTACGTCTCGGATGAAGATCACGAGAGTTATGTGGACGATGAGGGAATGGGTCCATATGTGGACAAATTCTCATCAATGGGTGACCGCGACCTAGTGCCCTCAAAGCAGGAGCCGCCTTACTATGAGGCAAAGGCGTGGCGCACCACTGAAGAAGAAATTGAAAGGATGAAGAACCTTTTTCCATTCTTTCGTGCCGAAAATTATCGGCTTATGTCTGCGAGTACTGGTCCCATAGGTACCAAGTCGCACGTACAGGGCGTCCTCCCAACAGGTGCGTCGTTGGAAGAGGCACTGATGGCTAAGCCCGGTGTGTGCCCGATTACGAGCACCTACAACCTCACATACGAGGGTGAAGAGGTTGTGATTGATGCACAGGGCGGGATAGCAGGCAGAATCGCCTGTCCTGCCGGAAATGACATCTTCCATTTTTTCCCCGAAATTAGGGATGTGTCGGCGTTTGTTGGACGAAGCTCCAGGGAATCGCAAATGCTGCTAGAAGTTTTGTCGGGCAACACTGACCCTACGCGGTTAAACGTGAAGCCCGGTGAGCAGCCTCCCTTCTTGTTTGGGACGGTTCCAGACATTCTGGGAGGTTGGATGTCAATGACTCTGATCTCAACGCTACTTGAGGCCCTATACGGGATCCACAAGTGCACGAGTGTCGAGGTAGCGACCTGGGCGGGTGCTCTCGCAAAGGAAAGCCCATCGTACCCTCCAGTCGAGCTCCTAATACGGACAGTCTGGAGGACAGATGGCACGAGTGTGCGCCCGAATGAGGTGCTTTTTGCGCGGTCCACCCTAATCGGGAGGGACGTGCCGTTCAAAGTTTTCAAGCGTTGGGCACTGCGTGACCGAACGCCTATGGGGCCTTTGCTTAGGCCGATGGGAGCAGCAGAAGTCCCTTATACGGGATACGTGCTGCTGACGATGGCCGAGTATCGGTCCGCCCTCAAAACGAGGTGCATCCGGAGGCCTGGCAAATTCGCCATCACAGTTTTCCCCATGCGACCTGAGCAGGTCTGCAGGGGGGAGATCATGATTGGGATGGAGGGCGCAAAGGTGCCTTTCCTCAAGTTGCCCAGCCCCAATAATGAGGGCGAATTTTATGTTGACGACCGCGTCAAGTACATGGACAAGCGCCATGTCGTTGTGGCCGTTGACCTAAAGTGGATGGCCATCGAGGAAGCCGCCGGCATCTACAAAACCCGACGCGGTTTGATCGCCGTGCGGGAGGAGATACATGCGCCCTTTTGGCGCGCATGCTATCTGCACCAGGAAGGGGATGTAATATACATCCGTCCCTGGGCGGTCCGTGAGTTGAATGTTCAGGGACCGCGGAGAGGGGTGTCATTTTCATGGGACAATGCTCCCATGCATGACTACTGGTGCCCTCGGTGCGCGCATTTGAACATGTATGGCACCATTCTATGCAATGGTTGCCATCTGCCGATTTTCTATCGTGAATGGGTGCCAGGCACCGTCCGCGCTCTGGTTAAGCATGGACAGCCAATCTGGCTGAGCGAACTCAAAGCAGTTCGCCCCAGCAGCTGGCATGAGGGGGAGACCGACGCGTGGGCCCCTCTCATGGCATCGGTAAACCCGATTCGCGAGGTGGTCAGCTGCATGATCACCGGTTTGCGCTGCGCGCCGCATCTTGTGCACATTCCCAATGCGGATATTGTGCAAGTTGCGTTTCAGGAGGTTGCAAAGGTCACCTCAAAGGACACTCACGCTTGTGTGCGGGCGAGTGATGAGGCTCTCGAGCGGTGGGTAGCGAAGCAGCTGCTCATCGAGGAGAGCAACACTGGCGTCTCGATTCCCGACAATATGTCTGTCATGGCATATTTAATCGACCACCCGCAACAGGCGGCGCAATGGGGTCGTCATATGACGAGAAAGGGCAGTCTAAATTCAGCATTTGCCCTTTACCTCTCTGTGCATATCTTTGATGCCTACCGCATCGGGATTGAGGACGGGTATTTGGTTCCGCTGTATGGCCTAGGCGCCTCACGCGCGGATATCATAATGTCGTTGGTACAGGCTGAGCGACGCCTCACGGACTTCAATACTGAAGATCCGAGTTTCGACGCTTCCACCGTTCTTGATTGGAATATCGACTCTTTGCGGGCAAGTGGTGGATCCATCACGGCCCCAATTGAGTATGCTGAGGCATACATTTATGTCGAAGACAATAAGGTTGACATGGTCCCCGCTTCGCGGCGCGACGGCCAATGCGCCATTGTCTTTGCTGACCCGCCGGTTGGGAAGCACCACAGGCGGGCAGCCACTCCTAGGGGAGACCAACGGTCTGCCACCCCGCGACCTGAATCCAGGTCAAAGGGTGATCAGCAAAAGGGCAAAGCCCCTGCACAATCCTGGCCCAAGGGCGGAGGTCACAAGGGTGACCAGTTCCCAGGGTCACAAAGGTGATCAGTACAAAGGCAAGGGTGGCCAATACGGCTACCAACAAGGGCAGTTCGGTCGTGGCGGATCCGCCAGATCGAGAACTCCCACTGGCGGGTATCAGCCTGATGCTCGCGGGTCGGGATATAAGGGTGCTCAGGCAGCCCCTTTCCCGTTCCCAAGTCCGATGTACCCCGCTTTCCCAATGGCAGGGTACATGCAACAGCCAATGGCTGGCATGATGCCGCAAATGTGGCCTGGCGCAATGCCGCAGAGTTGGCAGCCGCACATGCAGGGTGATCCACGCGAGTTCGAGAATCCGAACTCGCCGCATACCCCTACCTAGAGGGTGCTTCGTAGTTCCTTTTTTCGGTTTTTCGCGAAAAACCAGAAATAATTGGTTCCGTTTTATTTTTTGGTTTTTCACCCCAGCCTGCAGGGGCAGTTTTCAGGAAATGTCCAGATTGGACCCCAAAAGCCCGCTGGAGGGGCAGTGCACAAGCAGAGCAGCAACCACCGCACTTGAATAAACTCTCCCTGGCTCACACACAAAGCAGTGAGGGCCCGAAATACCCAATTTCACACCCAAATGCAAAAATCTTTCTGTTGAGCAGCGTTGCAGCTGAACAAGGCACACTCCCTAGTGCGTGTGGCGCAAAACCTTTGGAACAAAAAATGTGTACAAACATTCAGTTTGTGCATGTGTTCACTAGTTTTTTGGATTTGCTCTTTTTGCTTTCTTCTGTTTGTGTTGCCTGACACTGTCCTTCCTCCTTTGTACTTTCTGCGCCCTGATTCATTCTTTATGTTAATCTACTGGACCCTTTTTCCTAACTTAGCGGTTCCTTCTGCTCTACTCATGTTATTTCATTGTTAAACTATGCCTCTTTGCCATTTCCAGTTCTGCGTATATCTCTCCGTCACGTGTTTCTCCGCGACACACCCAAGCGTGCGCAGCTATGAGCAAAACCAACACAACCCTTACAGGGCCGGTTCGTTGGGATTCCCAAGGCTCATGTTTGTTTCAGGGCGCTTCCATGGAAACAATCACGGTTCGTGGGAACTCCCAAAGGACCATGTTTGTTTCAGCGCACTGCTATGGAAACAAACCTGGTTCGTTGGGGTTCCCAAACAACTGTGTTTTCCTATCCAAGTAAACAGGCTTCCCAAAGGACCATGTTTGTTTCCATGGAAACAACCATGATTCGTTGGGATTCCCAAAGGACCATGTTTGCTTCAGGGTGTTTCCCCCATGCCCCATGGAAACAATCATGGTTCATTGGGAATCCCAAAGAACCATGTTTGTTTCAACCATGTTTGTTTCAGCTTTTTGCCATAGAAATAAATAGGGTTCATTTGGATTCAAATGTTTGCTTCAGTTCGCCATGATAAGAAACAGGGTTCGTTGGGATTCCCAAAGCACCATGTTTTTTTCAGCTCTCTTCTGTATGGGAATATAGAAATAAACATGGCGCGTTGGGAATCTCAAAGAACTGCGTTTGAGTTTTTGGGTGGGTCGCCTTTGTCGCGGTGGCCCTCATCTCCGACGAGACTTTGCAGGGCTTTGCGAACAGTGCCGCACTCAGATATTTTCCATCGCCTTTCACGAGTCCCACCTCAGTTTGGTGGAAATGAGCCACTTCTGGGCAACCCGCAAGGAAGTGTTGCTGATGTGAACAGACCGTGCTATCCGAGAAGATTGGCCCACATAGTCTTCCGCCATTTGGGTCCCAAACGCAGCAGGGTTTAACACAAGATCATTTGTGGTGGCGTCGATTTGCTTGCGGAGATCGTCGCAAATATGCATGAGATAGTGATGTTTGGGAGTCAAATTGAAGTACACCAAATCCTTGCGGAAGCAGCTCAAGGCAGTCGCGTAATACTGAGCAATGTACTCCTCACAAAGATTCAGCCCCTGTGTCGCATGTTCTTTGCTCAAGTACGTCCGGACTTGCGATGAGTAGCACAGGCGGAGAAAGGCGTCAATGGCTTGGCCTGCTTTGAAAGCCGATGCAGTGATGTCATCAAAAGCAACTGGGCTCGCCAGATAATCCAAGAGAAAATCAAGAATTAGAGGCATGTCCGACGCTTTGAAGGAACAGTCAGGGAAGTCGTTCTGGCTCGGCCACGAAAGGTTCTCTCGAGTAAAGTGCTTAACATGAGGGGTTGCCCTCCGCGTTTTGCAGTGCTGAGCAAATGCCATGTAGGCCACTTCTAACCTCAATGGAATAGAGTCTCCTGCCTTAGCGCATCGAATTCCAAGAGCTAAAAGTGCATGAACAGGAAGAAATGTAACACGCGGAAGCAAAACTGTACTAAGGCTGCACAAGCAACAAGGGATGGAAAGTGGCCAACGCTGATCAGGTAGCACAGCAGGCTGCAGCAAAATGCACGGAGCACCCCCAAGTGACACAAATGGAAAATGTCTTTTGACACAACGATTTCTGACTCGCACCCTGGGATGCTATGCATTGGGGATGCTGTTGTCCAGGGGACTTGCGCGCCCACCGTTGCCCTCCATCGAGCATGCAAACCATGGTCAGAAAACGGCACATCCTTGTCGTTGGCGAGACAGTACGGGCAAATTGCATTTGGGATGCAGTTAAAATTACGCCGTAGATGAAAGCCCTTAGCTTGTGCGGGCAAATCCCCTTCATGGGAGATGAAGACCCCGTACATCACGCCAACAGTGGGCAATGTGACGCCCGTGTGGTACAACTCGCAGGCTTGCTCAGCAAAATGCCCCAACAAAGCATCAACCACACTGTTCCCGCGTTCATATCCATCGTGCGCTTTTTTGTACTGTTCGTGGGGCATGGAGCTGAAGAGCATGTAGTGCTCCCAAGATGCTGGGGCTGACCTCAAGAAGGGCCCCCACGAAATTTGCAGCACTGGCATGCGACGCTGACCTGTCCCCTCGTCCATATGGCTCTTCATTGGGATGCATCGCGAGAGTGACTCAGCACGATCAAAGAACACCCGATGGTTTGGGTTCCAAGCACGATACCTGACTGAGACCCCCCTCATGCAAAGAAAACCGATTTGTCAAGTTGAAAGGGAGAAAAGCAACACTGAGATTGATCAAAAAGGTAAGCTATGTCAAGCAAGGCCGCGTTTCCCAGAACTGCATGAGCTCACGTTCAAAACAGAGCGCTGGCTGCACGGCGTGGCCGCCCAAAAGTTTCTGAGGGTAATGCTTCAAAATCATGGTTGCCAGTTCAACCATATTCAAGCAGTGATGGCTTTTCCCTGGGCCCAGCCCAATGGAAGAAACTTTCATAGGCAAGGCCATACCGAGCTGAAACACTTGGCGCACAAGCACCTCTTCCTGCTTGCTGGCTGTGTGCGCAGCACCCAAAGCTGCAAGCTCTGCTTGCCATGGTTGGCCAGGGGCCATTGTTTGGGCCTGTATGAAGGCACTGTGGGCAGCAGACGCTGCTCCCTTTGCCTGCCAGTGCAGTTTACACACCCTACAGCGATCAAATGGATTGAAAAGAAAAGGCTTTGGATACCACCTGCTTTTATGACCCAGCAGATTGACACGAAACAAGCTGCATTGCGCTGTATCGAGGTTTGTGACCACTACGGGACGTGATTCTCAGAAACTAAGGTGCGCGCTATGTACTCCTGAAGCACCTTTCGGACAGAGTCCGCACCTGCGTGGCAGGCAGGGTGCGCTTGGGTGTTGGCTTGCCTCGCATGCATCGCTTCGGGCGCCACACGCATCATGCAGAAGTTTCTTTTGCTCTCTGGCACCCCAAGTAGCGCCGGTGCGGCGGCACTATCGGCCAATACTTGCTTGGCCCCCCCAAGAAACTAAGGATCGCTGTCGCTTGCATTTTGTAGCATAATCCATTTAACTTGTTTGGTCATGAAGTGCGTTTGGTGAAACCACATGACACCTGTTCAAGAAAACCTGACACCCATATGCTGAAGTTTCATATCGAACGCAAGCACTCAGCAATCATCATCATCTGCACCTTCGGTCTTAGCCTTTTTGGCCTTTGACTTGCCTTTGGCTTTTGCCGATGGCCGCTTCTTCAAGTATGTCTTAGCAGCAGCCAAAACGTTGTTAAATCTCGTGCATTCGTCTTTCACCCTCTCAAAAATCGCTTCGAATGGCTTCTTTGACCTGGGGGTCGCGAGCTCTGAAGCACATGCAAGGGACAGCGTGCGTCAGTGTGTCTGAGGGCTATACTCAGGGTTCTTCTTCAGCTCGCTCACCTCCATTTCGCAGAGGTCACGGAAGAGATTGTTTACCACACCTGGGATTCTTGGAGAAAGAAAGCTAAAACACTATCA